TTGTAAATGGATTAAGCAAGACAACGATACGTTTGGTTGGTGAATGATGAAAACAATAGACCTTTGGTTGGTGATGATGGAAACAACCAAATGAACAGTGAATAAATGGATTCCAGCAGTGAATAGATCGATGGTGATGATGGAAACAACCGAACGAACAATATGAATAGATGGATTCCAGCGGTGAACCGTATCTTACTAACTATATGACGTGGGTACTTTGGATGGATTTTCTCGGAACGACGGAACCTGGTTTCCTCCTATAAATGATATATTTGTCTATTTTTTAATCTATAATGGCAGAGGTGGGCAATTTTTCAGATAACAAAATAGATCCAATGGTTAGGAGTGGCTACGCACTTTTGATTTGATGGCCGGATGTCTCTGATTAACGTGAGAATTTCTAGTATTTATCTTTTTTCCTATCACATCTGATGAGAATTAACGTGGAACCTCCGTTGGGGCCTCCAATTTGTAATAGTAAGATTTCCTGCTACACCACACCAACAATGGAGGGATATATACACACACATCAGCACCACCAACCAAACCTATAGTGCATTGCATTTGGATATATGTGTATATGCAGATATATAAGGCTATGAGGTGCCAAAGAAGAAATTAACAAAGGGGATCCCAAGAAGCGACTGCTGGTGCGGTCTTGGAGGGAGATTCTTTTGGGAGGGACCATTAGACTTAGAAATAATGTTGGAGAGCGAGACAAATAGCCCGATAGTCACTGCAGGCATATGTGCTCTGATCCGTTTTGATTTATGCAATCCCAAATAACTTGTCCCCCTCCCTACAGTAGAAACATGCAAAGAAAGCGCATACGTCACTGAAGGATGTAGGATTAGAGACGCATTGATCCACCACACGTCTCTGTATAGTTTGCTCAGGCCACATAGGAACCATACATGTCTCTGATGAGTGAATATCAGAGACGCATCTATTTAGTAACCGCCATAGAACATAAATGTACCTCTTTTAAGGCTGTCTTTGCGTTGTAAAATAACATCATAATCTAGTAAATTTTTAGAGACACGTGAAAATTAATCAAGTGTTATAACATAAAAAGAAAGATTGGAGCCGAGATTGATCAAAGAATGATACTACTACATAAATGACTTTCACCGACGACATATTCACCACCAATTTGAACAAAGTCGTTGGTGATGATTTTCACCACCATTTCATAATATGAACCATTAGTGAAATTATTTTCACCAACGGTTCGTATTACGAACTGGACGTGAAAATTGGACCGATTTTCACCATCGGTTGGTGATGTGAACAGTTAGTGAAAATTGGACCGATTTTCATCATCGATTAGTGAAAATGATTTGCACCAATGGTTTGTATTTTGAGGCAGCGGTGAAAATAATTTTCACCAAAGGTTTGACCCATCAAATATGAAAATTATGTGGTCACAAAAAAATATGAAAATTATGTTCACTAACGATTTATTATACCAACCATCGGTGAAAATGGTTGACGATAACAGCGATCGTCTCCCTCCAACTGCTCACTGTGTGTGTTTTCTCTAATACTAGTAGAAATCTGCACATACATGACGAACAACTTTCGTCACTGAAGAAGCCAAATTCGTCATAATTTTAGTTTTATGATGAATTTATGACAAAAAACGTTCATAAAAAATGACTGTATCATATTTGTTCATCCATGACGAGCCCGAGAAACTCATCATAAAAAGTGGCTTGATCTATGACGAAAAACTGACTGTTATGGAACTGTTTTGGCATGTGTGACATGGGGTAGCCATGCTAGCGGGTGTTTTCGTTGGAGATGCTTCCACGTGTAGATGCTATATATAGCCGGTTCTATTGGAGATGCTTCGGGTCACGTGTCACCTTCTTATTGGAAAACGTGGCCCTCTCTCGTTCTTGCACGTTTCAGGTTCTAACTAGACCACGTGTCGTATTCGTGTTGTTCCACTTGTCAGGTTTTTATTGGCACACGTGTCGTGTTGCTATTGGAGCACGTGTCACTTCTTTATTGGACCATGTGTCCTATTTTTATTGGTCAACGTGGCGTGACCATAATATCACATGTCTTTTTTTAATCGACCACGTGTCACGATGTTGTACGTCCGCATGTCAGTTTTTTAGTAGGCCACGTGTCGTGCCCTAAACTACCCACGCGTCTTCACATGGCAAGATGGATTTGTAGCACGTCTTGGATTTGTATTGGCCCACATGTCCTGTCCTGGATCTTACCCCTGTCATTAACTAGTTTGTTCATGTGTTAGATTTTTATTTAACGACATGACCTCTGTCAGATCTACAACGTGTAGAGTAATCATTACATTAGAAAAATAATTGTAGATCAACACTGCTGCACAAAATAACTACATACATAACTATTGAGCCTGATAAATCAAATAACAGCAGTTTAGGTCAGCAGCAAACCACTGGTAGAGTTGACACATCAAGCCACCACAAGTTCACATTAAAAACAGCAAACAAACCATACATGTTCACTGTATCAATAAGACTGAGAGTTATCAGCGCTGAAGAGCATGATGTGCTCACGGAGTTTATTGTACTCCTCTGTTTTTTGAGCTCCTAAAACTCCCTTTTTGTCTTTTCTGTTTTTCTCTTCGGTTGATCCACTTGTTCGACGAGGCCAGCTGAACTTTCTTGTTCAGCAGCAAGTTGTTCCCGAAGCGCCCTCTCTACCGATGTCTCTGTTCTGGAGGAGCTTGTCCGGATGAGTGATTGCGGATTCCACAGGTACACGTCGGAAGGAGAAAGGACCGTGCAGAGATTTATGATAGTTCGAAAACTGTTCTAAAGAAAGTTCTAGTTGTCATAGATGTGTAATTAGTTCGTCACAGATATGTAATTAGTTCAATGACAAAGTTCTTGTCGTTACAGTTCTAAAGCAAATCATCACAGATGAGCAAGAACAGCTGCACGTGTGATTTGTGACAAAACCCTGTGCCGTTCAATGACGAATTTCTGTGATGATATCTGATTTCGTCATAGATATGTAGAGGGAAAGGACCGTCACCAATGATCCATGATGAAACGGAAAAATTCGTCATAGAAATCAATCTTCTATGACAGCTTTTTATTTGTCATTAAGATTTTCATCGTAGATGTGCAGATTTGTACTCGTGTAAGTGGCCTCGACTCACCTTTCACAAGACTTTACTAATCTATATGCATCCATGGATGGATGGCTAGCTCGACGCCTCAATCTACAATTGGTTGCAGCAGCCAGCAGCAGCGATGGGTTTCAACCCTCCGGTGCCACAGCAGGACAGCAACTGGGAGATCCGGGTGGAGCTCCTGCTGAGCCTCCTCCTACAGGTTGTCCTCATCTTCCTCGGGCCCATGCGCAAGCGCTCCGCCTCTCTGATATCCCGCATCATCATCTGGTCCTGCTACCTCGCCGACTGGGTCGCCGACCTCGGCCTCGGCCTCATCCTCAATAATTTGGGTAACATCGGCGGCAGCGGAGGGAACTCCACATCTAGCTTCAACGTCAAGCATGGTGGCGGCAGCGGCACGACTAGTACTGCAGGCAACAGCAGCAGCAGCAACATACAATGTTCTAAATAGCGGGCTAAGCCCCTTAGCAGCTTCCTCCCCAAAGGCTAACAATGGCTATAGCTGGCTAAATAGCGCGCTAAGCCATTTAGCAGCTGACAAAAACAGAGGAAAGAACAGAGCATTCTGGGACATGGCAGCAGTAGCTGCTGCTTGCTCTCCCACGCGCTCGCCGCTTGCTGCTGCCCTTTGCAGTCGCAGTAACAGCAGAAGCCGCCGCGGCGCTCTCGCGACTGTCGCTCGCCGCCGCTCATGCTCTCGCGGCCGCTGCCCGCACTCTCGCAGCTGCCACTTGCCGCCGCTCGTCGGGTAAAACATTAACATATTCGTACTGTTCAATGCTCATGGTCTGATCCTCTGCCGGTTCAGCTTCCTCCCATGGACTAGCAATGTAGCATCTCAATTTCATCTTTGTTGAATTGATGACAAAATATATTAAGGGGTTATTTGGCACAGCTCGCAACAGCTCTACGAGCTGTGTTGTAAGCTGTTATTTTTTTCTTGTTAAACACTATTTTTTAAAACAGTTTCATGAGTAAGGTTGTTTTTCTTCTTTCTTCGCATAGAGACGAGTAAGGACGAAGCTAAAAAAAACAGCTTTTCCCAACTTTATCTAAAATAAGTGGGCCTTAGTTTGTGTACGTCTCTGATTTGTCGTCAGAGCAGGTCGCGTGGAGTGCGGAGAAGGGGCCGAGCGCAGGTGCCGCCTCCTCTCCGAGGCCCGGGCGTGGCCGCCTGGCCGGCACGCGGACGCGGTCTCTGGCCGGCGCGCGGGCGCGGCCGTCTTGCCGAGGCTCGGTTACGCGAACGGCGCGGGGTCGACTAGCCGGCCACGGCGCGACCACCGGGGACGTGGTGCTGGGGCCCAGCCGCCGGGGCGCAGGGTCAAGCCGTGGGCGCCGGGGGTGCGGGGCCAGGGCGAAGAAGACGTGCGAAGGAAAAAAATCCTATAAGAAAAAATAGAAAAAATAAATAAACAAGGGTATTATAGTCATTTTATTTATTTGGTTCATCATTTGAAGCTGTTTTGCCAAACAGTTTTTCAAAAAAGATTAGCTTCACTCAAAAAGCTACTTGTAAAGCTATTTCGCAAAAAAAAAAACAACTTCAATGATGAAGTTGAGCTGCGCCAAAAAAGGCCTAAGCTTGCAAAATCCCAAAGCCAACGTGTCATATGTTATGCAAAAAAACATACAGATAGCTAAAACAGTTATGTTGGAGTAGGCTTGGAGATCACAATCAGGAAGATTTTTTCTTGAATACGCAAGAGCATTGCGTATCATTGTATTAAGAAGATAGAAGTTTGAAATAGAAGAGAGGCCGTTCCCAGCCCGACAGTACAACCAGGAAGATGACGATAGTACATCGTAGCAATGCGCGCGGCTAACGCAATGAATTACGCATCGCGAGTTCAATTAAGCATTATTAATCTTCATCAGGCTCCCCATCAGCGGCCTCTGCTCCTGCTGCTGCTGCTTCAGGCAGCTGCTTCTCCATGTCCTTACTGCTCTCGATGTGGCCACCTGCTGCTGCAGGTTTAGCTTCTGCTGCAGCTTCTTTCATTGGACTAGTATCACCCGGCAAATCCGGCAAGGGATCCAGGACGGCGAAGCCCCTGGCCGCCTCGATGATGGCCACCGGCAGGCCGAGACACTTTTTCACGATGTCCTCCTTCATCTCCTCCAGCTGCTTCAGGAGCAGGTCCTCCTCCACCTTGCCGCCTTCCTTCTTGCGCTTGTCGTCCTTGGCCTGGTCGTACTCCCTCCTGAAGAGCTTCCAGGCGTCTTCCCCTTCCAGCTTGGGCGGGCGGACCACGAGGCCCGTGCGCGCCATGATCTTGGCGTCGTCCTCCTTGCGGCAGGTGACCAGCACGGCGCCCCTGTGCTCCCCCTTGGGCAGGCCGTAGGCGAGGCGGTCCCCCCACTCGCCCTCCGCCGGCGGCTGCAGTGTCAGGTTGCTGTACCAGCACCCGTGTGTGTGCACGTCGTCGTCGTCGCGGCGGTATGCCCGGATGTCGTCGAACACGATCATGTAAGACGTCTTGGACAGCGTCATGTTCAGGATGTAGAGCAGCACTCCTGTTCAATTCGTGCGTCGAATTATTCCATGTTTGCATTGCATTGCCTTGCCGCCAATTGTAAGTGCAAGATCGTTACACCTACCGATTTTGGATGTCTCGACGGTACGGCTGTTGTCGATCTTCTTCTTGGGTAGCTCCTTGAAGATGCCAGCCTCGGAGACGACGCTCCCCTCCTCCTTCTTCGGCCCATCGCCGGTCGTCTCCTTCTTGGCGGTCTCCACCGCCTGGTTCTGCCCGGGGGCTGCGGCCACCATCTTGGCCGCCTTCTCGCGGATCAGTTCCTTGTCGACGGCAGCAGTCTCCTTCTCGATGGCTGTTGTGACGACGTTGGATTTGTCGACGATGTCCTCGACCTTGGCGGTGTCGAGGCCGAGGTTGTCGAGCATCCGGTAGAGGAGGTTGAAGCGGTCCTCCGAGTCCGGCGGGCCGACGCACACCCACAGGCGGAGCGCGAAGTTGTCCTTGGCCTTGTCGTGCACGAACACCTTCTGCGCCAGCGCCGTCTTGCCGCTGCCGTGGATGCCCGCGATGCCTGCCGCCCGGAACATCCGCTCCGAGCCGTCGGGGGCCACGAGGGCGTCGATCACCTCGCCGGCCTCCTTGTCCCACCCGTAGATCCTCTCCTCGTCCACGTAGCTGGTCGTCCACTCGTAGTACTGCTCCGGCTCCAGCACGTTCTTGGTCAGCCGGAGCAGCAGCGTCAATGACACGCCTTCTTTCTCTTCCTGCTCCTGCCGCTGCTTCTTGCTTTGCTGCTGCTGCTTCCACGCCCGGGGCTTGCAGGGGATGCAACAGGTCGCCGCCGACGCCGGCTTGCTGTCGTCGGCGCCGGCAGAGCTCTCCGCAGCGTCCTGCTGCTCACGCGGCCACTTGCAGTGGTCCGACGACGCAGCCCCGCGTTCCTCCAATGCAGCCCTGATGAGGTGCACCAGGTTGTGCAGCTCCTCCCTCTTGCTCCGGGGAAGGACATCGTCGTCCTTTACTTCCTTGCCATCGCCTCGAAGTGCGATCTTGGCCTTGATCTGTTCGAGGACCTTGGAGATTTCAGCCAGGACCTTCCTCTCCCCCTCATCCAGAGGTTTGTCGGCCAGGGCGTCGAATTCCCCGAACAGCTTATCCACTTCGGGCCGCAGTTCCTGCAGGTCGTAGCTCTCTTCTCCATACTCACTCTGCTTCGCCATGGTCGTCGATAGATAGATACTACTTGTTTGTTTTGTGTATAGATGGAGATCGATGGATGCCACTGATTGCCCATGCTTCATTTATATATAGCCATACACATAACAGTATGGCATGTGATCATCATCAGATGCTTGCTCACTTGATGAGCAAAGCAAAGATGCGATGCTACGATGATATGCTTCCTCTCCCCAGTCCGCAGGGCTTTAGCTTTAACCTTGGACAAGATACAAAAAGACCTTGCATCGCACACCTGCTTCTTTCTGAAGGCAAGGCGACTTCAGCAGGACTGAAGCTGGCCGGTGTGGTTCTTCTGCTCACCCAGCAACTTTGAACAAATGAGTGTACCTACCAAAGAGTGGCACCCAAGTAAGGAACCAGCATTTGATCTCACCTTAATGGATCTTTATTTAGCTTTCTTCCTGTTTGGATGGATGTCTCAACAAGCGATCCCTTATCAAAAAAACCAACGATCATGGCAGGCTAAATGTACCAGCCTGGATCATCACATGGTTCCTGACCAGCAAGCCAAAAAGGAGAAAACATAATAGAATCAATCTTTAGTAAATCGAAGAATTCGATTCATTCATTTGCTTTCTCAAAGCATTCTTCTGTAACACTCTAGTTCTTTTTTTGTTACATTCCTTTGATTGAATACAAGCAGTAGGCAGCAGGTGAATTTTCTTTTTATACATACAGATTACAATGCTGCAGGTGAGGTCAGTAAAGCAGGGACGTCGACAAGGGCAGATAACCTAGGTCCACCTAAGTTGGCAGGATGTGGGATCAGATCATCAGAAACAAAAACAACAGTGTGATGAAGCCAGTTATTGTTAATTTTTCTAGCTAGCAGTAGCGACTCCTCGGAACAGAAAGGGCTGCAGAATCAGGAAGAAGGCTCCGTATCTGGGGTTCTTGTTCTTTCAATGGTGAAATGGTCAACAACCCGTACAGATCTCACAGGGTCCGGTGATGAGGCTGACCTCCACTTGCTTGGATGCTTCCGGTCATGGCTGAGCTGATGAGGCCCTCTTCCCTCTGATTCCCACCTCGGATCCAACTTCCAGCCCTTTGGGACCTGTTTATTCACAGCAGAGCAAAGAAACATTTTGTTTCCCATGTCAGAAGACCAGTGTGCAGTTACATAAGGCGACAGAGTTATGAGCAGATGGGAGCAAAGGAAAGCAGTCTGATCTGTTACCTTGTCAACTGCAAGAGTAAATATTTCCAGATCACCATCCTTCTTAATATGAAACCTTGTGAAAGATTTGTAGTTTGCGATGCGCAGTGATGAGAAGGCTTCATCAAAGTGTATGTGGAACCAGTTGATGCAGATGTACAGGTAGCTACCAAATATGAGGGAAACAACTGGAGTCGAGAAAATCCAGAAATAGATAAACACAGAAGTGTAGTACATGATCAGAACACTCCGTGAAAGAGACATCATTCCGTTCTTGCATATATTTATTCTTGTCACCGCCATGACCTGAGCAAAGGTATAAGGTATAAGCTGTTAGATACTCCGTACTTGCTAAAATCTACAAAACATGGACTGGAAACGAAACAGTAACATGCACCAAATCTTGACAAATTAATCTTCTGTAGTGTAATGCATCACATTTTCAAAATAGTTAAATTCTGAATTTGTGAAGTTAGATTACTAGTTCTTGCCCATACAACATATAAAAATTCTTTACAGTAGATCATAGTTTATTCTACAACTGCAGATCCATTCCTCAAGGAATGTCCAGACAAGCACACTGTAACATTTCCAGAAAATCTTATTACCTCAGGGACGTCAAAGGCTGACATAAGGTATTTTATACATGCTGGGTACAGTCCCAGAGTCCATTGCTCCAAACGAGCACGAAGACCAGTAGGATCTGGAAAATGCTCACTTTCCATGGATTGATACCATTCATACAGAGTGTGATAACCTACAAAAAAAATATTTGTAATAAAGCTTTCATTTGGGTTTTGACCCATCACCTATGATAAGAATTCAGGAAGCACCACTATGGCATGGCATACCTGAAGTTGCCAATAAATGATTACGAATACAAATTTCAATGCCCAACTCCAGCAGCAACATTAAAAGTAGTGCTGCAGTTAAATGGGCCAAAACATGGAGGCCGCCTATAATAGCTCTTCTCCTCCTTGATAGTTTGGATGGTACGAATGAATATGACGCCATCAGTAAAGTAAGACTTCCTACTGAAGAGACATAAGAGTGCTCAAAAATATAAAGCAAAGCACTCCATATCGTGCCTGAGAAGCTTTTCAGACGCCCAGACCAAGTTTCTTCATTTAAGATATGAACAAGATTACACTGGAACAAATACAAATAAAATCAAGAATATGAATACAAATCGACATGTTGGTCAATTTTACCTTCCAAGTGATAGTAGCAATATGAATACACATCAAGAGACCATAAAGGGTAACGGATGATTTATGTGATGCAAAGTATTCATCTGAGGCTGGTACAAAGAATATGACATGTCCAGTACCAACCAGCTAACTTTTGGTCAACAAACATACTACAAGATTTACAGTAATTACTAAGGGCAGCCCCAGTGCACGAAGCTCCCGCTTGCGCAGGGTCCGGGGAAGGGTCCGCCCACTTGGGTCTTTTGTACGCAGCCTTTCCCTGCATTTCTGCAAGAGGCTGTTTCCAGGACTTGAACCCGTGACCTCATGGTCACAAGGCAGCAAACATTCTTCAAAAAGAAAAGGCAGAAATAAGCAAATAAAAATAAATCCATAACAGAGGTCAGCCCACAGAAGCAAGAAAGGTGCAAGTACTACTTAGTTTACAAATCTGGGAATAAATTTGCTAGTGGTGGCCGACTGGTACAGTCCAGCTGATAATGACTAATTGCTCTATTCTCAGTTATTTAGCCCTTTTTAGATGAGTTGGAACCCTTTGATGTTGTCGGTTGTTCATCTTCTTACATGAATATTTTACAGATGTGTTGGCAAAGTTCTAAATTCTTCAAGAGATGATTAGATAATTTATTAGAGAGACATTTAATGAAGTGGAGCTCAGTTTTTTGAAGATGAAAGTGAGAACAATTTTACTATGAAAAAATGCTTCCAGGTTTTGATTTCAGAAAAATCAGAGGACAAAAACTGAGGCTCAAGATTACTATTAGCAACTAACCTCCACAGTTACTACTAATTCAAATGTGCGACAAAGGATAATCTTTAAAATAAAATGGCCATTTTGAGAATCTGCAACTAACCTGTGGGAACATTGAAAACACCAGTATGAAGTATATAAAACCACCAATGATGTCAAACTGCCAATTCTTTTTGCGGAACTTCAATATGTTACCCAATGCAATCTGTGAATTTAGTAAATTAGATTGTGCTCATCTCACAATTGATGGTATAGTACACAAAAGCTTCTTAAGCTGATCACTGAACTAAATAAGCAAGAATTACTTCATCAACATAGGAAAAAAAACATACCCCACTAGACTCATCATAAGATGGATAAGCTGCCTTGCATTCATAGGTGGTTCCAGAGAACCTCTCAAAGTTTCTGAAAACATGTGTTGGGTGCAAAAAGGCGCCACCACATCCATTGACAAGCAAGTGTTGCACAAAATTAGTTTTTTCTGATCGAGTGGCAGAGTGCCTCATAAAATGGTGTAAATCCCCTGCCAGGCGAAGTTTACATCTTCCTTTCAGGTATTCCTGAATTAAATGTGACACATTCTTGCCTGTAGTCTCGTTCCAATACCAATCAAGAAGCCAGTTTGGCTCATGTGTTACTACAACCACAGAATCATTCTCTCCAACCTGCACAGCTTTAGTATTGAAGTCGATCAATTAAATCTGGAAATATTACCTGCAACTTCCAAGTTCCAAGAGATATTCTGGAAAGGTAAGAGGGATTCCTTCCAACTAGAAAGCAAAAGGGGCTAAGAGCCTATCAGCCTAAGACTACAAAGAATTTGCAGCAACTCTTTTTGTGTTTACTGTACATGCAAATATTAGCCAACATACATGGTTGAAGACTTGAAGCAATTACTAACGTATGTTGTCCCATGTGAAACCAAAAATAAGGAAATGAAACTCGTTTAAAAGAAAGATGAGCAAGCGAAGAAAAATGCACCTTATTCCGACAAACATCTGCAAAGAACTTGAATTGGTACACATCAACATCACCATGGAGAGATAAATCAAGACCAAATATCCACCAACCCTTGGGAAGATGCAATGCAAAATAACTCTTCTTCTGAGGCAGAAACCATCCACCTAACCAGCTTTTATGACATATATATCTCATAAAAGTATGGAGCCCATCAAACCAGTCTGTTATAAAAAAGTATCAGAAATTGGGAAAGGAACAAAACACAAACATGCATTGTATTCCTTACATCATTGACCAAGTACACAAGAAAGAAAATAATATGAGATATTATTAGATTAATCAAGAATGTTTACAAACCATGGTTTCCAGGAATTATGAAACACTGTGGTCCATCATATTCAGTCATCTTTGATACACCAGGAGGAAGCTCAGGCTTATCCAAAGCTATATGTTCATCACTGTACCAAGGTGGAGGCTGTAGAGCGTACTCAAAAGGCCTAAAGAAGCGTCTCTCGTATGTAAATGATGAAGGGTTTGGGTACCTGCAAATTCGAAAACGACAGATCTATGACTATGATGCACTAATGCAATGGACTAAGTCATGTCTAGTTTATAGATTATGACATATGTATGGGCAATATTCAATAAAGATACAGATCTCAGCATGCAAGTGATATGAGATGATATATCTAGTGACTACATGCCATACAAGTATTAGGAATTATGAACTAGAAAATGTTAAGCTGTATGGAGCCAATGGAGAATGCAGAAGGCACAAAGAATCGCATATCTAAAATAATATCAGATTTTCCTCCTGAGAAAGAAGCATGTCATCTTATCCACAAGTACTATTGCTTGAATCATACAGAGGCAACCAGAATAACCTTTTTCAGGCAGAGA